CTCGTGTGTTCACAGCTTTGGACTCTTTGCTAGCTAAAATTCTGCCTGTGCAGGAGAGGTGCTGCTTTTTGTTTTCATTTTTGGGAAATGGACCACGATGAAAGACGTCTCGATCTGGCAGAGAAACTCGTGAGCGGCAAGAAAATTTAAATAATAAAACGTTTTAGCTGCCACGTTGGACTCCAGTAAATATACATATGAAGCTGTGAATGAAAACCACGATGAGGCGGTGCATCTGCGGGGACCTGCTAATGATGAAGGCAGTCCCGTCGCTAACTCGGCTAATTGGGGTTCAGAGGAATCAAATGTAAAGATAGATGGAGAAGGACGGCGGCCCGGTGGGGCGTGCCTCTGCTGGCAAGAGATCACAAGCTTTAATAGAGCCGAGCCTTTCACTCAGAGCTGAAAGTCAGCTGCCAGCAGGTGACTTCGGCTTTGTCATTACCAGCTCGACTCGTGAATGCTTTCCTGGCATGCAAGTGTACAGCAATATATATGTTTGCTGGCTAATTTAAGCTGTCAACGTTATGCCTGTTTGTTGGTGAAAAATGGGTGCATCACACAGCGCACCAGATGGCAGGAACGGATCATCAGTCTGAAACAGGAGACGTGTGATGGATAGATTCCCCAGAGTAAACTGTCTAACTATGAGCCACACTGAGAGGACACTTGCTCACAAATGAGCCCTTTTGTGCCTATATATTGCACTAAAACACATGTAAACACTGTCAAGCTTTGGACTTGTGAAAATTAAAAGAACTAAGCAAGCATGGCAGAAATCTGCTGTTAAAGAGACAATCAGTAGTTTTTACCTTTTAGTATTTGGAAATATCCATCAAAATGTTGGAAATTAATAAAATGATGTCCAGTTGTTGAAAAACATTGACGGCTTCTTACTATATAAACATAAAAATCAGGTCTAAAGTACATTAGGTGCGGGTCTAGCCTCTTTGGGGGACGCCTTGCTTCCTTCTGTCTGGCTTGGGGTCGTGCGCCTGACGATGACGTCGCACCAGATCACTGGCTGAACATACAACTTTTGGAAGTAACGTTACCTCGTTCAAAAACATTTAGGCAGTAAGAAACACAAATTTGATAACAAAACTGCTAAACCTTTTCCAAAACATACATAAAAGAACAGATTTGAAAAAGAGATGCAAAATATTTTGGCCAAGCGGTATTGCCGTAGTATGACGACGTCATCGGCAGGCGCAAGCCTCCGAACAGATCCGGAAAGTATAGCACCAGAAAACAACAATTGGCATTTTCAGTTATGGAATTACCTGAAGAACATCAAAGTCTGAGGAGTCGCGCCAAGAATGCATTCTTTCTGCTCCACAGGTAACATTTACTGTTATGTTCGTTTACCTAGCGACAGTCAGGAAGATGTGGCGTAAAACTACCCTGACATTTATGTATGTACTGCCCTCTAGTGGCTGGAAACCACACACTGCTACTTTAAAGGATGCTAAGAACGGCAGTAATTGTTTCAAGATCTCAAATATTTAGCACATTTTTTTGCTTTCATCTTTACAAGAGAAGCTTTATTCGTTTGGGATTTCTAGAAGCGTTTCCGTTTACTGCAGTGTGTTAAAATAGTTCTTCAAAACCACATTTACCTTGTTGCATCTTGGGGTGTCTAGTGTAGCATACCAAAAAGTCTGTGCTGTCTCCGACCAGCTTTCCTATGTAAATTAGTAACATCGTACTGGCCACGTAAGTTCTGAGAGAGGCTGGTTCAACACCTCATAAGCTTAGACACACCCTTAAATCTGCCTGTGCCAACCAACTGTAACGTTGACAATATATAAATATTTGTAACGGTCATACTAAATGCAGAACAACGCTAGGCCGAGCTCCTGTTGATGCTAGCCCAAGGTTCTGCTAACCCTAGCCTGAGCTACGGCTAATGCTAGCCTGAGCTACAGCTAACACTAGCCTGAGCTAGGGCTAATGCTAGCCTGAGCTATGGCTAACACTAGCCTGCGCTGCTAGCGTTGTTGTTGGACGAGAGAAAAACAATAGTTGTGTTCCCATTGTCTGAACTTCTGGTTAGTTTCTAGGGGGGACTACATCAACCGGGAGATACAATGGCCCTGTCCTCTCAGCCGTTGTGTCTAAATACAGATTCAGCCATTTCAGGGCTGTTGTTGTGGACTGCATAAAATCCCTCTGGGGCTGCAAATGGCCCACGGGCCACATGTTGGACATCGCCGCTGTTTTTTCTTTTTCAAGAATGTTTCTGAGTAAAATTTATAACTAATCCCCCTTTTTAGATAGTTCACAGTATGGCCTCCGTTTAGAGAAATTGTTTATTTCCTTCAGGCAGAGGTGTGGACTCGAGTCACACGACTTGGACTCGAGTCAGACTCGAGTCATTATTTTAATGACTTCTGACTTGACTTGATAAAATCTTTAAAGACTTATGACTTTACTTGGACTTGAACACCAATGATTCGTGACTTGAATCGACTTGCATCTGTTGACGTGGTGATGACTTGAGCATATTTGATATTTTAGCACAAAAGTGGCACAACATGGACAAAAATCATAAATCGTTCTTCGTTCTGGGTTTGATTTACTGCTAAATGCAGCGGCACTTTGTTTAGAATCAGTTTCAGTTGCACTTTCTGCTCGTTTGAGCAAATAAATGAAGCTTTATGAAGCTTTATTTCTGGAGTTTATTTATTATCATTGTCATTAAATTGAAGTTGGACAGATGACTTGATTATGACTTGAACATTCAAAGTTAAGGACTTGGACTTGACTTGGACTTTCACATCATTGACTGTGGCCTCGACTTGGACTTGGTGGTCTTTGACTTGGACTTGACTGGGCTGAACATCACATTAGCCGAGAGAAATCCAAGACTGCAGGAATGACGCACCGCCTCATGTCAGCTTCAGCTCTCTGAAAGCAAAACCTCTGGCGTTAAATTTTCAAAAACAGTTTGAAAAGTTGCAAATTAGAAAGAAAAAAGGGAGTGAACAGTGAAAACAGAGATGAGTCCTTTTGTGATGGAGGCATCTCAAAATGACATACAACCAGCGGAGCGTGCCATGAATAAATCATCATGAGCCGGGCACAAAGAGAGAGAGGGAGTAAACAGTTGTGCATCTTCACCTCAGATGCCTGGAGAGGCCTGTCAGACAAAGCAGTTAACAAAGTCTACCACCTCATCACCATGCGAAGCGCGTCTCGGTGAATCCAAGTCCAAGTCTGACACCTTTACCACACTCCAAACCATCTCCTCTCTCCTCTTCAAAACAACTCTGTATTTCTCCTGAGTCAACTTAAATGTTAAGCAAGGATGGGAGTGTTGGAGCTAACCTCTCCCCAGAGTCTTTGCTACACTCTGTGTTGCGTTCACAGAGCAGATCTGGGTGTTATTTTTTAAAATTGGGCAGCCAGAGATCTGGGATAAACTGCTCATTTGTACTTGTGGGATAAATCTCTTTAAAACCTCCATGATGTCAACTTTTAACACAGCCACGAACATAATTTGGCGTCTAATGGCTGCATGCATAATCTGTAGCCCTCCCTTTAACTTTTCTGCCTCCAGGTGTACCAGAAGTGCAACATGTTGCTGCTGATGGTGATATTTCTGCTTGTAAATGAACAAACATGTCCTGTGAAGGACTTAAAGGAGGCTAAAAAACACAGACTGATGGTGACCTGGCTTTGTTGCTACAGGACATGTACGTAATATTTTCTGTCCAACAGTGTGGATCTTTTTACTTAGTAGTTAATTTCAGTATTAGTTGGCTAATTAAAGGTGCATTATGTAGAAATGAAGTAAAAATGGCATTCTGTGGTAAAATTTGATTACTGCAACCACTTTAAACAACTCTGGACCTTTTTCTTCCTGGCCGTCGTCAAATTATAATCGTCGGTGCTGCAGCATTAGCTCAGAGGACACACAGCAACCCCACACTCAAGGATAAGATACACTCCTCCTTGCTTTGTTTTGAAAGGAGAAAAGCTGGCAATCCCCACAGCCAGCTGGATATAAAATATGTTTCAGTATAACCTTCCCTCCAAAATGACTTTAGACTCTTTTGGGATTGTTTTTTCACTGTTAAATTCTCACCATATTCTTACATACTGCACCTTCTCATTGGCCTAGTGGTAGTGTCTGCCTTGGAACTGGAAGATCGGGGTGCAAATCCCGGTCGGGTCATACCAAAGACTTTAACAATGGGACCCAATGCCTCCCTGCTTGACACTCAGCTTTAAGGGGTTGGATTGGGTGGTTAAACCATCAAATAGTTCCCGAGTGCAGCCACAGCTGCAGCTCACCGCCCCGCACAGGGGTGGGTCAAATGTAGAGATGAATTACAGCAGTGTATGATGAATAATGGGACTTTAACTTTAAAGTGTTAGCTTGTTGTCGCTAGCTACAGCAGGCTGCTGCAGGCTTGTGTACAACAGATGTAATTCCACTTTCAACCAGTAGGGCAGAGAAGGAAACTCAGTGTTATTTTAAGGTGACAGAAATGTACTTTAGCTGCACTTGGACTAGCTGTTCGCTTATCAATCATAAGCCCTTTTTATTTATTTTAACAAAGGCAGCTTCAAAGGTTTTCTACAACAAACGGTGATGGAATTTAACAAAGAGCAAGCATTTTGTTATTGTGTGCTTAAGTACAATTTTTCTGTATCTGTACTTTTCTTAACTAATTTTCTTGAGGCCTTGAGATTTGTACTTTCTCTAAGAACTTCAAAAAAGTAAAAGTACTTTAATTCGTGTTTTGTCCGACCACCACCTGGTTCAACAGCACACTTCTACACACAGCACATATTTAAATTTTAGTTGAAAAGTTTTTCACTTTTAAGTACATTTGAAAATGCACAATTTAATACTTTTAAATCTCTTGTAATATTTTACTATTTTATCTGTACATTGTAAAAAAAAAATCAAGTATTTAGTGTACCATTAACCACAGGAAATACATTTAGTACACAATTTACACAAAAATGAACTTAAAACGGACAAAGTTACTTAGCTTTATTCCAAGTGATGGTAGTTCAACATTTTAGGAACTTCACATTGTGTGTCTTTTTACATTCTTTTGGTTTAAGATGGGGAGCTATCTTGTGTGTTTTAATGAGTTTTGTGTGGTTACCAGCTGGTGTCCACTGGGTGGGGCTTTTCCAGCCCTCTTCATTTTTTTTTCTCTTGCAAGCAGATTGATTTTTTGTTGGTTCACCTGATGTGAAGGGTATTTTTTGTTAACTGCATTGCATAAAATTTTATGGCCATTTGCAGGTGAATGCATTGCCTTAAGCATCAGGACATAGCCCTTTGGTGCATTCAAGGATTATTTCTGACAGCAGTTAAAAGGTTTAGACACATGAAGTGGTTTGAAATTCAGATTGTACCCATTTAAAGATATTTATGATGAAATGATTATATACTTTTACACACTTCAAAATGGCACCAAATTCTCTTTATTCCATGATACTTGACACAATAAACCACTATTTTTTAGAATATAGTTTTATTTATAATTTATAATTGGCAGATACAAAAAACTCTTGAACTGTATCCAAAATGTGCAAGAAATCATTGATTTTTTTTTCCGCCCAAAAACAGAAAATACAAAAACACAATCTACTTTGGAAAGTGGACAACCAATGTAAACTGGAGTGCACTGGTTATTCTACGGAGATCCTACTAATCATCTTCCAACGGGCTACGGTGGTTAAATCTGAATTGCTCTCCCAAAATATAAAGACACGTATGTACATACGTCTACAGAGGCGACATTCGATTTCCCCGCTGTAACATACAAGAAAGGCAATCATATCTGTAAGCAGCACAGATGTGTAAAACACAAGAAAAGATTTATTACAATAATTGTACCAAGATGATCATATGAGAGGGTATGTCCAAACATAATAATGTAAACGATAACCTCTCCTTGATGAGATGTATGGGTAAAAAAAAAAGGAAAAAAGAGGGTGGAGCTTGTCAAGTGCTGTTATTAATTCAGAATCGGATCTGCAGTCTGAACAAGCATCAACCTCTGGAATCAAACACTGAAGGCAATAATGCTTATTAATGAGCTAGTTTGCAGTGAACTCACAGCAGCTTCTGAAACTGGCTTCTGCTCGCCAAAATCGGATGAACAGTTTCAAATTAAAATGGGAATACAACTAAAAGAACATTGTGTTTAAAATGACCTTCACATTTTTACTCCAACACATACACAAAAACAAAAGGGTCAAATCAAAATTTACATCCACATTCTTGTCATCGTCTCACCTTGGCAGCCTGTTGAGCTACAGTCTCGCCCTTAGATCCCACCAAACCATTTTCTAAATGTTACAGTTACACAAATGTGACCTTTTTTTTAATCACCATCTGAGGGGTAACTCGAGGCAGAGAAATGTTCAAGTGCAAATGATGTGTCAATGGAGTACATTTTTTGTGTTCCCAAGCTTTCTGTCTGCAGGCAGATAAAATGAATACCTCAAACACGCGTACATTCCTTTTGTACAGTTCAATCCCCCAGATGGCAAATGTCACAACATCAAACTTACATCACCCAAAGATCAGAAGATAAAGGAGAAAAAAAAACGATGAATGTCCAGCCAATGTTCATGTGACACGAAAACACCTCTACACAACCAAACACGCATCTTAAATCCTTCATTCCTATACAACTCAAAGCTTAAAAACATCTTTAAACATGCGACACCTCTCAAGGTTCCTATCTAACTCTTGCTGTGCTAGATTCAGGGTAACGTCCCACACTTCCAGCTAACTACCGCTAAATCTACGCTCTAGACTACCGAGCCCATTTCCCAAATACTTTGAATTAAGGGCACTGACATACAAAACAAGAATTCTCATTCATATTGTGAAACAATCCCTGTCAAGTATCCAAATAAAGCACTTGTGTAACATTAGGTGTGCTCTTCCCTTTGACACTAAGGGTCCAGTAGAGAGAGAATATGTGGGGTAGATCAGATTTGTGATGGAAAACAATCAAAAGAGGGAAAAACAAAATGCTTTTGAAATGAATATGTTCTTAAAACATAAATAAAACCAAGCTCAGCTCTTCTGTGTCTTGACTCGAGTCCAAATATTGGCAAGCTTAGAATAAAAGTCGTCACAACATTTAGATTTAACTCAACGGATCATTTTTCAGCTGCAGGGGGACTGAGGGACAGCGTTCTGTAAATAGAGACCGCCAAAGGTAAATTCAATTGTGCACTCTCCTGGTTACCTTCACACATCCTTTCACCAGACAACGCTGCATCTTTGACAGTCCTAAAGCCTTTACCACATGCAAATACAAGCATTAGATAGTGAAAACCGTCGTTAGGCCTGAGCTGAGGTGCAGAGTTTGCAACATTCCTAATGCAGAACATTTTATTGTTAATGTTAGAAGATTTTGAAAAGACATACACTTTGTTGGTGCCGTTTTCACTAACAGCACAACATAAAAATCCAGCATTTTCAGTACCGTTAGGCGAGAACGAGGAAAATGCAGCCAAACTATTTTAAGCTACATCGAAGAGCCTCCGACTGACTGGCAACATTTGGACATCTTCTGCTTTACAATTGTACTGATAACGGTAATCTTTGACTCTACTGCAACATTTTACCAACAAGGTTTAGGAATTACATTAATACAGTCATGTCTGACAAAGATGACGTTGGGTTAGCCAAATCTCTTCTACTAAACCAGGAAACAGTCATGCACAAGCACAACAGAAGCTTCCATCACGTCTAAAACAAAGCCTCTGTATTCTACTCTGCAACTGGATCATGCATAAAAGAAATGACAATCTAGAAAGCTGATTTGCAAAAGATGTTCAAAAGTCATCAGTCAGCTTAAAACCAGATGTAGCTACACACTTTCACCTTGAAATCTTCTCTGAGGTACAATTCAGATGATTAAAAACGCAACAATTTCTCAAATTTAGAGGAGTTCTCCGGCTTTAGTGCAGATCGTTTATGAAATTCTGCTCTACTTGTACAGCTGGATAATACCCATAAGCAAACACCACAAGTGCCTAACGCCTGCACTAATGTTCTCTATCCTCTGCAATAGATTATGTGCTGGCCTATATTAGTGGAAAACAGTGGAATGGAGGACCAAACAAAAGACATCATCAACTAGCGGGACAAATATCTCAACTGTGGGTGACTGTAAACCTTGTTCAAATCTCCTAACTGAACACAAAAGTGCAAATTGCTACGACTGTCTGGTGTGTGTCTTCAGTAGTGCTTTTCCTGCAGGTAATCTTTCATCTTGTTAGGTAGGGGCAACTTCTGGATCAGGTCGATCCGTGTGTATTGCCTAATGACGAAGCGGCAAAGATACTGCAGGGAGCGCACTTGCATAAACCGAGATACTGGGTTGGTTAGTCTGACGGGGTAGGTTGCAGAGCCCGGTAGGCGAGACCTGGAATAACAAAAAGCTCCGTTCTCTGAGTCTTTGATAGAATGTTCAATTAGATCCACAATGGACGTGTGCCCTTCGACGTCAGGCTGCTCGTAAAAGCTGAAGCGTCCGTTGGAGTGTTCGATGCGGGTGTGGAGAGTTTTGCTCTGTGACCTGAAGCTCAGGCTGAGCAGGTACCGGTCATCTGAGCTGTCCCTGACCAAGAACGAACCGTCAGCCAGATTCACCAGCTTATCCTCCGCCTCCCATCGTGTGATGGGACCCCAGTACCAGCCCTGTCTTGCAAGCTTCTTCAGCTCCTCTGTCAGGCTGGTCACGACCATAGGGCCGCTGCTCTGGACGGAGTCATAAACCCGACTGACTCCAGGGGCTGAATTTGGGTCAAAGTTGAGGTGGTGCCTTACTCTTTCAGCTACCTGACTGTCTGAGGAACTGAAGCTGGAGAAAGTTCTAGGAATATGTACGTTACTTGACATAGGTGGTAGGAGTGGAGAGAGAGGAGGCTGGACCTCTACTCGAGAGCTTTGGTGCATCATACCAGCAGAATCAAGAAGAAAACTGCTCATTGAGGTTTCCATGAAGAGATCCGGAGGCATCCCACTGACCAGGTCATGTTCCTCTTGCCCCTGGTCTGTGTGGATGGGCCCGCTGTCCGCCTCCGTCACCACCTCCATGGGAGTAGAGCTGTCCAGGCAGAAGGAGTGGGACCCTTCTGGGTACATTCCCTCATCTAAAGGCATTGTGTACTGGATGTAGTCCTGGGGGGTTAGCCCCAGCACCACAGGCACATCATTTTCATCTATGTTTAGGTGCAGCTCACCGTTTTGTGGTTGCTGGAGATTCTTTAAGGACTCCGCTTGGTCCTGAAAGAGCTCTTCCATCTGGAAACTATGAAATTCTTTCCGAACACCGTTTAAGTTGGGGCTTTGACAGGGAGAGTGGACCATGGCTTTAACCTTTACCTCCATCTTGATGCACGCCTCATCGGAGTTGACAGACCGGAGAGGCCACGGGGATGGGCTGTAATGGTGACTCCGTAATGACGCCGTTCTCAGAGGTCTCTGAGCTATCACGTCATTGCTGATGGGCACGGACGAGGATGAAAACGTGTCGTCATCGTCCACAGAGCATAAAGCAGAAGAGCCACCTTTTACTTTGGCCTTCTGCTTGGCCGACAGCCGTCTCTTCAGCGATCCCATCAAACCCTCACTCTTTGTGCTGTTCTTTTTCTGGCCTCCTTTCTCGTCTTCACAACTAAGATCACACCCCGAAAGCTCTTTTGTATAGCAGCCCCCGAAAAGCGAGTCTTCCTTGGAAAACTCTGTCGTAACAGAAGGCTGCTGGAGCATGACAAAGTCACCCTCCTCCTTGCCCTTTATGTTGAGGGACTTGCGGATGGTCTTAAGGCTTATCTTCTTCATTCTGACAGGCCCTCCGAAGTGGGGGCATGGGACGGCTCTCCTGGTATCCTGATGAAAGCACTATCCACAACGTCCTCCCATCAGGCCACATGGAACAAGTCATCCATACAGTGGCGCCATAAATCCCTGGTGAGAGAAAAAGACAAAAGACACTCTGTTAAGAGTAGGTTCAGGGTGAAAGATGAAAGTTTTAAAATATATTTTAGGCAAGATTTGTCGTTTATATAGTTTGACTTTTGCATCTGGCTGGGAAAAAATCTGAGCTCTCGCTTCACCTTTCCTAATTTTGTAAACAGTTTATTATGTGATATCATATTGAAAGATAAGATAAAAATACTTTTACCTCAGGACTTGTTGCAATTATTACCCATTGGCTACTCTATGCAGCTACCTGTTACCTTTACAAGTGTTGGTGAATAAAAAAGGACCTCAGCCCGGCTTGTTTGGCAGGAGATGATTGGACACGCCTAAAGGAATCGCAGCACTTATCAAACTTCAGACTATGAAATAAATCTGATTTATTGTGACAATATTTTTTCAGTGTACAGTGCTTTTCAATCCATCCATCTGTTAAATTTAGTTAATGAGTTTTGATGTGAATATTTGAACTTACTGAGAACAGTTAACCTAAAATAATCAGGTTGCTAATGTGTTTGAAAAAGATGACTAGAACAAAAATTAGATTAGCTCTAGGAATGTTTGATATCGGCGTTTTCACCATTGTCCGTTACACCAATACAGTCAACCATATGCCATATATACAAGGTCTCCCAACAAAGAAGGAAAAACAATCATTTAAGGTAAATAACATCACATATCTTCTATCATGCATACTTAAACTTTAAACATTACCATTGCAAAATATGACAACTACTTCGATTTAAGTTGGGCAATGGCCAGCTGAATCACATTTTCCCTGAGATAATCCTGACAAATGCACACAACAAATTTCTACTTCTTCAAAGTTGTGCCAAACAAACAAAAAGATTGCTAAACCTCAGACCTGTCATATTTTGACATTTTGAATGAGGAAAAGTAGCTGAAGAGTTTGCTATATAATGCGTGCATGACATCTAAACTCATTAAAAGAGTAAAAACCGATAGATAATTTACAATATTGTATTTCAATGTCAACAGCAGTTGATAATATTCGACATCCATATTTAGGACCATTCAAAAGTACAAGCACTGATCAAAACTCCAAACAGTGAAATATTTGATCACCTGGTTAAAAGACAATTACTAAAAATGAAACTGGCAAGCTGGTTTTTGGTCATGCAGTGATTCCTGGACGCACATATGTCAAGTAATTATTGCATCTTTCATGCAAACATGAAATTACTTCAATTTTTCTATTATGCTGACGTAAAAGATTCATCAGAAATTAAAAACACTGCACCCTAACCAAGAAAAGTTCAACAAAATGGTTGTAAACTGATATAAATTATCACCTCAAATGCAAAATGGTATTTTTAAAATTTATTTACCTGTTTTAGAAGCTTTTAAAACACAATAACAGCAGCTCAAACATTTTCAGAGATGTTTCAAAGGATCCCACATGACAGCGCAAGAGCATCTTGTGACTATTACACAAGAAATTATGTTCAGAAGTTCAACCACAGTTGAAGAAATATGCAGCAATGCCGCTGTCTTGCATGTTTATTTTTTTTAATTAATTTAGAGGCATTCATACATAATATTTAGCACCAGTTGACCTAATCCGCTGTTCTCACCAAGACAAGATGCTAGTTGTACAGGCAGAATCTTTGTATGTAAATGGAGAAATTTGAGAAAATTCTAGATCTTTTGGTTGATCTCAGCTCACCACTGACCTTATATACATCCCATACTGGCTCAGCAATACAGACAGATATGTAAACATAACTAAACGTTCCTATTAAAGCCACATGACAACTACAGAGCCAAATATGTCACACGCAAATGTCCTAAAGACAAATTAATTCCACAGTTTATCTGACACTTTGCCCTTATAAAGCAGGGCCATAGTACTGAGGGACATCTGGCACATGAAGCTCCTAACCGAAGCTGCTTGATAATCAAGAGGGCTGCAATCTGATTACTCACCATTATCTGGGAGAAAATGGTGACTCAGTTGGTTGGGTCAAATTCCACCTCCTCCACCTTTCATTTGCTGCTGGGAAAAAAGTGCCAGTTCATTTAAAATATATATAGTTTAGATTTAAAACATGCTCCTGTGGAAATATGCACACAATAATCATAAAAACGTTGTCAATAAACCAAAGTTGAGGAGGTCTGACTTGACCTAGAAAGGCCTAGGGACACATGCTTTTAGCTTAGCTCCACTCGTTACATTGTTGCTTTCATTGCACTTATACAGAAGCATTAATAAATGTTCCAACAAATATTCCATCAGCACTGGTATTTTTTTTTTCTTAAACAAGCAGTTCTCTGCCACAAAGCCGCTTATTATAACAGATTTCTAGCTAGGCGACTGCTAAGCTAAAACTGTCAAGCTAACCCACTACAAAAGTGATTTTTATTCTCTAAACACGTACAAAAAGTGCAGGACACTTTCGCTTACCTGGCCACTTTACGCTGTACTGCAGGGAGAATAAACCAAATACTTTATTCTGGACTCTTTTAAAAACACGTTCGTAAAAAGATTCGCCCCTGGACGATTGTTGGCTAATGTTAGCCTAGCTTCGTTAGCGTTTTATGTGGAAAACATTAGCGCCGCTGCCATTTAAGTCCGCTTTTGTACCAAAAACAAAAATATAAAAGAGTCAGCATAGGTGAATTTTTAGTTTCCTTTCATCACGGGAGTATTTAGACGACTACAGTTGCTCATTAATGTGACATCTTTTAATCTAGGCTGGCTAACTCTTTGTAGCTTTCGGCCCCTTCCTTTCTTCCTTTGTTGCCTGTTGAATTGTGGGAGCTGAATCAGAGGACGCGTTCACATGCAGCGAATCAGCTGCAGCGTTCACATATCACATCTAAAAACAAACACATGCATTCATCTAAAAAAAAGCCTTAACATCATCTTAAAAAGAATAACAATACACTTGTTTGTTTGCAATTTGTTGATAAGTAGATATGCAACCTAATTATAAAGTGATGATAATGTAAAATATGCTTACAGTTTTGTGAACATCCACATAAGTTTTGTTGAAACTTTAAGTTCATTTGGTTTCAGTACTGCTTCTTTCAATAGGAACCAAGTATGGAAGCCCATTCCCACCACTTTGATTACAAATGTATACTCCTCCTCATGATTTAATTATCTCATAATAATCAGAGACTATCTCCTTATTAGGAGATTAGGGCTTGTGATCTCATGTGATTTTGAGTTGCATTCTGAGATGTGCGCAAACATGTTAGTGGCCTTACGAATTACATGTTAAAATCCCAAAAAGGATGTGGAATATACAGGGATGCGTTAAATAAAGAAGTCTGAGACAGGTATGTGGACAAAATCAGCAGTATAAACAGTTTGTATCCATGTGAAAGACCCAAGAATGGAGCACCATGACTGTATGATATCCAAAACGAACCTCAAGGCTGATCATAGACCTGGAATCCCATCCATCCATCCGTCCCTTTTTGTCCGTTTATCCGGAGTCCATATTTTCAAAAGTATTTCAATTTTCACAACGTCCTGGTCTCCTCCCAGTCATGGTTAAGCAAAAGGATCGTTAGACAAATACATTATATATGCAAAACATAAACACAAACAGATTTTCAACACAAAGAAATTTGTTCTTCATGCTGTTTTCATCTAATATTAAAAGTCTTGGTTGATGAATAATAAAGCTGCAGCCACAGCTTGATAACTAATTTCCCACTTCCCTGTGTTTCTTTTCCTCTACTGATGTCACCAGGGGGGGTTTGGTGCAAAGCAAACACAAGCACCACACCACATAGGATGGTAGCAGAAGAAAGCTTAGCAAAAAGTGGTTTCTGTACATCTGAAGAACGTTTATCTGCCAATAACAAAGACTCATGTGTGTTTTGGAATGTTTTAATGCAAAATATTACTTCAAGCTAAATTGCTAATGCTAATTGTTTTTGCCTAAATCTCTCTCTCTCTCTCTCGCTCTATCTCTCTCTCTCTCTCTCTCTCTCTCTCTCTCTCTCTCTCTCTCTCTCTCACTCTCACTCTCTCTCTATCTATTTGTGTGTGTGTGTGTGTGCACATGCATGTACACTGGATGAATTCTATTGGAAGTCCATAGATCTGTATAACATTTACACCTACAATTGATAAATTTTTGGCGCCAGCCTAATTCAAGATGGCTGATTTGCATCAGCAAAGAAATGTTTATATCGGAGTACTTTTTATAGATGTTGAGCAGGAATTCAGTAGTCCCAAACACATACTCTGAGCGCTTATGGATCACCTTAGATATCATATAAAACCTTGACAAAAAGCTAAATCCGGAGTAAGTTTTTTCCAACAGCAGCATCTAGTGGCTGACTAACATATGGCACCTTAAGCCGTGGTTTCCACTTCTGTATTTACGGCCAAAGCAACTCGTTCATCTCGCGCACCTCTAGCTGACATTTTCATGTTATGCTGTGTGTGTGTGTGTGTGTGTGTGTGTGTGTGTGTGTGTGTATATACTGTATATAATTTATTTAAAGACTTATTTGTCTACGAGACAGGTTGCCAACACTGCATCAGTCTAGGTACGTCCTCAAATGCTCGCACATTTTCTGGGATTGCATGGGGCTCTATGGGACAAAGGACGGGCTTAGCAAAAAATAAAAAAGGAGTATTGCCTACATTATATCACAGTACACAATAAGACTATCACTTTCACGGATTTCTAAAAATTCATACATAAATCCTGAGAAGGAAAAAACTCTGGATTGTAGCTTATTATAACCCTTAAAGGAGACATAACATGAAAAACCCACTTTTTTATCCATTAACACGGTGTGTTTCACATTTTAAGTGTCTAAGTGAGCAAAAAGGCTTATATTATTCACTGGAGTTGCTATTTAGATATTTAATAATTAAGTTTTGGGCATATTTGTCCACCCGTTCAGTTTTTACATTATCTATTACATCAGTAATTAATTTAGTGAGGATAACTACCAAATATGGTAATGGCCCTCGGCTAAACACAGAGCCAATCCGCCATTTTTTCTTCTCGCTAAGATTTTTTGTAGTCCTATTGGAAAAATGCAGAATGTCTGGTTATTTTAGCCACACACAGCTCAAAACTGTTCCTCGTTTTAAGGAAGGGTGGTGTGGCAGTATTTAAACCCAGGAGCTGATGACACTACTGCTAAAAAAACACAGAAGAAAAAGTAGTGTGTTTGCGTTTGTTTGTGTGTGTGTGTGTGTGTGTGTGTGTGTGTGTGCGTGCGCGCGTGGTTCGTTCGTTCTGTCTCCAGGCTAGTGGCTAAGTACTGAGGGCTTCATCTATCTAAAAGGAGTTATTTCCATCTGAATTTGGCAGCACCGGGACACAGCAGCAGAGCGGTAAGCTTCATATCACTCTAAAATGTCGACAAACTTTACTTTAGATTTACGGGCATTAGCAGCACTAAAGCGTTAGCATCCGGCTTGCTATCGCTAGCACAGTATGCTAGTAAAGTTAGCACCCAGATTAATGTGGATTTGGCTGATTTTCGTAGAATAAAACGTGATTTCTGATCAACGCCTTCTTTTACACCAGATGATAACCTCCCACTGATTGTAACAGCAGAGAGCCTGTGTGTTATTCTACATGAGTGTGATGTAATCTTAGCATCCAGTAAATAAAGTCCCATATCAGCTAAAATGCAGCGTGACAAAGTCATTAAAGTGCGTCAACACAGTGGATTTAATAGAGTTTTAAAGAACGATCTTTAAGTGAAGTGAGGTTAGTTTTTTGTCTCACTGCAGATATAAAAACTAACTCTGCATCAGTCAGACGCAGCAAAGCTCACCGTCTGTATGAGCGTGAGCGTCGGAAAGCTGATAAAATTGGCTGTAAAATAATTAAAACAAAGTAAAAATGTTCCTTTGCTTTTTAGAGTCCACATCCAGAAGACTGGAGCCGTGTTTCACTGACAGGCTGTCAGACTAACGCTGGGACAAACTGGTCTGATGTTTAGGTAAGTGAAGATCTGCTTCTCCAAGTCCTTGAGATGCTAGTAAAAAATAATTTAGCCAGCTTGCTAATGTTACTTTTCTTCTCCTCTAAGGAACACAGAACGTTCAGATGTTGGCGTTTCACGTCACCTACTGAGGAAGGAGACCCACCAGTAAAGAGACGGTCTGGACCAGACCAAAGTGAGTGATGACACACCTCAGCCACCCTCATCATTAAGAACACCTCACCCCCTGAATCACTCCGTCTCATGACAGCAGAGTGATTTATTTGATGTTTTACTTGTTTAGTCTGTTTAGAAATTATTGAATTACATTATTTTCTGTAATCGACCATCTGATCTGGATGTGTGCAGAATAACTTTCCCCAAATTCAGCAGCAGCTGGCCTACAAAAACAGCTGCAGCATGTAGTAAGTCTGTCTGCACTGCTCTCTAATGAGCTTCCTTTCATAAGGAATCATTTGTATAATTTTAGTGTCACTATTTTATTACATTTGTAGGAAAATATGAAGTCACTGCAGCAAAGTGAACTTGTGAACAAACACAAACGTGACTATAAACATGAAAGCTAAAGAAACAACTTCCCTAAAGCTGCTTGTAAACAAAATATGTCATTAAAGTTATTGTCTATCATTGCAGAATATGGCGATGACATCATGGAACTGGTCTTTGGAAAAGTTTTCCCTGAACCAACTCCGTTTCTAGATGAGGTAGAGAAGATCTGCATCTCACCAACTCTCTGGTCTCAGTATTCAGACAACGGAGGTCTCCCACTGTTGTCCAGGACCAGTTTGAAGCCCACATACTGCCCCTCCCTCATCATCAGGAAACATCAATCCGTATCCTGAGGACAACAGAAGACGGCAGGAGGACAGGAACTCTGAGACCTAGACACCACCAGCACCGAGACACAAAGCACCTGTGTGCACAACGCCTGTTTTAACTACTAAAGCCTGTTTATTATATTGTTCTACTTATTTGCTGTGAGGTTAATACTTAGAAAATTTGTATATTAATGTAAACAATAAAAAAAATCACTGATTGTATGCTTTCTTTTAGATGTAATGGTCCAAACTCAGCCTTGTAGACATTTATTGCATCCTGTAGGTAAATACACAGAACAGGCTCAGGTCCAGGATGACCCAGCATGCTCTTCTTCCATTCTGGCTGTTAGGGATTGTATCAATAACTCAATGCCTACTGATGTTTTCACCTAACGGTATTTATTTAGAATGCAGGTAAGATTTAACTATATTTGTTAGCAAAGCAGACTGATCTTGGGAATTTCACTGCAGCACTGATGTCCACCTCTCTGTACACATTAGAGAGAATTACCACTTTACAGCTAAACACATTTAATAAAGATATAGGCTACGCATTGCAGACAATAAAAACAAAGTTGTAAGCATTAGAATTATAATGATGACATTAAAGAACACTTGGAGGAATGTTCTTTATTTTTGACTAGAATCTCAAATCTTTAAATTAAAATGTAACTGCTTTTTATCCATTTTCAGCCATTAAGACACCCAATATAAAATAAGACTACTTATAAAATTATTTATAATTATATGTATGTATATAGATAGAGATCTTAATAAAATATATTCTTTGAATGGTGTTTTAATGAGCTGTATCATTTTTTTAAACATTTTTTACAGAAATAAGCAAGCAGCATTCCTTGTGTGTGTGTGTGTGTGTGTGTGCGCGCGCGCGCGTGTGCCTGCTCGCTTGTCCCTCCGTCGGCCGTGACGGGTGTGTGTGAGTGACTACAGACAAATGCATGAGAGAGTTAGCAGCCATGAAACAGCTTGATGAACTACTCTCCCCACGTGTTTTAAA